ATATGATGTGATCTGCTTAGGGAAGAGGCGTGGGCTGCGGCAAGTTTCTCAGGGGAGACAAAGGCCAGCAGCAGGCAGTTTCTCTGGGGAGAAAAAGGCCCCAAGCACCCTCTTCCATAGCCTTTTATTGGGTTGTAATACTCAGGAATACAGGGCAGCAAGGATCAAACAGTAGATAACACTTCAAAGATATCTGAGGGCTTCAGAGTCTGAGTCAGTGTCTGTCAGGAAGAGAGTTGCAGAAACTTTGGGAGACATACTCATTTCCTCTAGGATCCTTATCATATGAATGAAAGCACTCTTAGCAGAGCAGATTTCACAGGTTTATCAGGAAGTCTTTGTGATGCCAGATTTTTCCCCAAGATACACTCTAGCAAGGCAAGGAGCTGCACTTCTCTCCATCAGGTATTCAGGCTTAAGGGGATTAGAGCCAGGAAGTGCTTCTCCCAGAGAACATGGGGACTCAGGCTATGTCAAAGCTGGGGGGTGAGATCCATTGCTCTTTGTTGCAACCCCTCGAGTCCTTCTATGAAGGCCTCCCAAATGATCGAGTCTGTCTTAGGTTGCCCCCGCTGTGAGGGGTCTTATCCGTCATTGACTTCCGACCAAGCTCTGGGGGCAGGGAGAGGAACTGAGGCAGCGTTTGCTACTAGAGACAAGCTTTGTCTCCTGTGGCTGGCATTCCAAAGGTCGTCCCTCGCCCTTAGCCACAAGGGGTAGAGATACAATTCCTAAAACCAGGCAGAGTGGTCTACAACAATTCAGATGTTGGAACGTTTAAAGATGTCTTAAAGGTTCCTAAGCCTCTCCTCATTTTTTTGAATTCTTGTTTCTACATTTTTTTCTGTTTGGTTGTTTCTTTCTTTCTTGTGGTCTACTCCATTAATTTGAGTTCCAGTTTTCTTCCTATCACTATTGGTTCCCTGTGCATTTTCCTTCATTTCACTTAGTGTAGCCTTCATTTGTGAAGGCTACATCTAATTTCATCTAATTTGTGACCAAAGTCAATCAGTTCTGTGAGCATCCTGATCACCAGTGTTTTGATGTATTTGCTATGGAGCTTTGATCTGTTTTTCCATCTGAGCCATTTTTTTGGTCTCATTGCACCTGTTACATATGAAGGGTGGAGCCTTAGGTGTTCACCAGGGCGGGCAACCCAGTTGCTGGGTTGTGATGCTGTATGTGGGGGTGGGGTCAGAGAGGGAACAATGGTACTTGCTCTGCTCTCTCTCAGATTTTGTTCCCTCTGCCACTTCCCACAAGCAAATTGGGCCCTTCTGGTGCTAATTCCTGGGTGGGTGGGTTTGTGTAGGTTCTAGGACCCTGTGGGTCTCTCCAGTGAACTCTCCTGTGAGGCTGGGAGTGTCTCCCAGCACCTCAACCCCCACAAGTGTTTTCAATGAGTGCTTTTAGGTTTTATTTTTGGGCACTGGGGCCCTGGGTTATAGTCTGTCTCGCTGACCATTTTCATCTGGCTTATCTGCCTGCAAATGTGTAACCATGGTCAGCCAACCGCCTTGCGTACCTCACTGGGTCTGCTTGTTCCCACCCCATGCCTGGGGTCTGCCAGTTGCCACCTGCACACCCGGGTCTGCCAGCCACCACCTTTTCCCTGCCCCGACCCTTCTCTGCCCGCTGCCGACTTCACCCCTCTTACTGGTCTGAATGAATAGTTGTTGGAATTCTGTACAGTTTAATTTTCAGTCCGTTCTGGTTGGTTTTTGGTTTCTAAATTTTTGTTGCCCTTAATTTTGGCTGTGTGAGGAGGCACAGTGTGTCTACCTATGGCTCCATCTTGGCCTGAAGTCCTGATTCTCTTTATTTAATTTATAAGACAGGTGGAGAATAATGAAGACAATGATCTAGCTTGGCCCTACCCAGCCACAAGGCTTATAAGAACTTAAAGAGTGACCATGTGTGAAGTCGGAGGCCAGGGCCTGCCACATCCATCAGCTGTGCTCACTGTTAGCCATTGTTGGGTCTCCCTCCTTGGGGTCGTGTCTGTCCTGGTTTCTTGGGAAGCATCCTTGGGCATCCACAGACGCCCCAGTCTTCCACCCAGTGTCCTGAGAAAAGGGCAGGGCTGAGAGTTAAGGCCCCCTCTGCCGGGACTCTGAGGTTCCTGCCAGCAGGCCTGGGAGTTGTCCAGCTCCCAGACCAGGCAGGGGGTCTCCATCAGCTCCCTGGATGGTCCCTGATGGCGAGCCACTGTGCACTGCACTGCTGCAGGCAGGGGACCGAGACTTTTGGGCTGAGTCACCTCTCAAGCTGCTTGCTCAATGCCTGGGGGACTCTTAGGACAGTGAGCAGGGGTTCACATACCAGAGGACGCAGTGTCCTCTTCACTGGTGCACAGGCCTTTACAGTACCCTTTTACTCCTTTTGAGGTTTTGAACGTGTCTAGAGTACGAGGAGGCTGGCAGTTCAGGAGCATTCCCATTTCACAGATGGAGATGTGGAGACTTGCAGAGGAGATGTAGCTTGCCCAAAGGCCCGCAGTCAAGGCAGGCGGACCACCTCGTGGTCCTGCAGCTGTCCTGCAGCTGTCTAGCTTGTTCAGCCTTCCCAGTCCTGGACTGACATGGCCCCCAGGACTCCCCTCTGGCCTACCTGCTTCTCCTAGTCCTGCACCTCTTCAGTCCCAGAGAGCTGAGTTCAGGCTGCCAGCTGGACACAGGGAGCAGAAGGACCCCACAAGGCTCCAAATGGGAGCAGAAAGTCTGCTTACAAAGGCCCCATCCCGTGTTTATTTTCAGAAGTCACTGGGGTAAACCCAAATCCCAGAGATGGAGGCCCAATTCATTACGCTCAGATGATTAATTACAGGGCAATTAAATATTTGATTAAATTAATCCTGAGGTGTTTAAACATTGTTTTGCAAAGAATGTTTGCTCATTAATTATAAAGGCTAAATGCACGAATTAAGTAGGAATGGGGGAAACTGGGAGCTTGCCTGACTGCGGCTCCTCCCCGGAGAGGCAGGGAATTTCTCCGTCCTGAGAGTTGTCCCTGCTTGGAGTGCCCCACTGTCAACCCTGCTCCGTGCCTTCATATTCTCATTCACAAATGTGCGCAGGGAGGAAGCGGGCCTGGAAGGAGCCCTGAGAGGACTGGGGTCGGCAAACAGGAGATCTGGCCCTGACCGGGTCACTGACTTGCCATGTGCCCTTGGGGGAGGCCCTGCCCCCTCTGCCTGGGGCTCTCAGTCTTCAAAAACGCACAATGTTGAGAGCATCAGCTGTTTCCTCTGGGTCTGGCTCTTGAGGGGTCGACACAGCTGGGTCTGTATTTCCATCGCTAGTCAAGAAGAATGTCTATTCTCCTGCTGGTCCCCACCTCTGCAGGCTCCTGGCATCTCTGGGAGGCCTCTCCATCCACTGGATGCCACTTCTGACCAGCTGGTGACTGTGATGCCACATAAAAACAAATTTCACCTCAGAGAGGGAAACGCTCTGGTCTCAGAAACCTGCAAGCCTCGCAGAAGCAAAAGGTTTTTCTTTCACAGGGTGAAGAGGGGGGATGTGAATCGAGATAAGCAGAATCTTTGCGGGGGAAGCTAGACAAATGAGGGGAAGTGACCAGAGGGTCTGGTGGGAAAGTGTCCTGCTGTCAGTGATTTCCAGGAGAGTGAATAAGGAGACAGAGAGGGGGTGGAATGAAGGTCATTCCACTTCTTTCGTGCTTGCTCAGGCTCAGGGGCAAGCAGAGTTCAGGGGCCTATGGGGAGAGAAGCCTCTGCCAAGACGGTGTGGAGAGTGAGCAGTGGGCACTTGTGGACACTGGACTGAGCACAAGCCAGTTTCTGTGGCGGTGGGATGGGAGCCAGGCCAGCATGGGGGAGCCGGTGGGCCAGTGGTGAGCAAGGAAGTAAGTGCAACCAGCTCAGCTACACTTCATCGTGTGGGAGCAGACAGGTGGGGCGGTGCCTGGACGGAGAGGAGATCATAGAGCCATGGTGGGGACTTTTTCAGGTGAGAAATCAGGGAGTCTGTTTTTAGGCAGTAGCTAGTGATTCATCGGGGCAGGAGGCCATGACATGGCTTGCACTTGCAGCTGCGGGCTCGGCTCTCCCCCTTCTATCTGTTACGGCCACCTCTGGGTGGCCTTCCTCCTTCTTCAGGGTCCCCAGGGCTCTCACTGTTCAGGACAGCACCCACCCCTAGAGTCAGGGCTGCCTGCAGGACTCCCTGAGTGGCAGTCAGAGTTCTGGACCTGCTGGACATTCCAGGGAGTTGCAGGCACAGCTGCCGGAAGAGCCCTGGGCCAAGGCAGGAGCGCTGGGTTCTCTCCCTTGGTCTCCCCTAGCTGCCTGCCTGTCAGTGGGCTGGCTGCTTCTCTACCCTGGCAGGCACCTGCAACTCTCACTGCTGTTTTGTGAACTAGGCCCCTGCAGGGTCTCGTTTACCTGCTCCGACCTCCACATACCATGACCCTTGATGTCCTAGGTCTCCCATCCAGTCCCCCGGACGCCTTCTGTGCTGTTGTTCACACTCTTCCCCTTAATGTTCCCACTGCTTCCTCCTTCCGTCCCATCGAAGGCAGTTCAAGCCCACTTCCTGCCCCCACTTTGCAGCCCTTCTCTGGACAGGCTCCCAGGATTCCGTGACACGGAATGAGCTCAGTCGGCATTTGCCTCTCATGGCCAGCCCCTCCTCACCTGGCAGGCACAGTGAGTTCACTGGCACTCCAGGGGGAGTCTGAGCTTGGGGCCTGGGGTAGGGGGGCGACTGCAGTTGGATTCCTTCTGTTCCCCAGGAAACAGGGCCATCACTCTTCGGAGCTTCAGGATGCCACTCCCCACGCCCTCAGGGCAGAGCAAACAAGCTTCCACCTGCAGGACCAAAGCCTTCTCCAAAGGCCAGCCTAGGCTCCCTGCACAACCCCCCCACCCCCAACTGGCTGCTCTGCTCAGCATTTGGGTCACCAAGAGGATAAGAACATTCAGTTTGCTGTGCTTGTGAGAACTGAAATAGCAGAGGGATTCCCGGTCCCCATCCAGCCCGAGGTGGCCCCTGCACACTCCACACGCCGGGAAGCTTCACGTTGCTTAAATCAAATGCACACTTAACCCCCTCAACTGTAGACGTTTGAATTCTCTATTTCAAGCTTGAAAGAAGGGGAGATTACCCTGCAGGAAGACAGTGCGATGTGGTAAAAAGAAGGTTTGGAATCCTGTTGGAGTTGACTTGGGAACTTTGCTCTGCTGTTTCCCAGCTGGGTGAGTTTTAGGTGATCCATTCATTTTCTGTGTGCCTCAGTTTCCCCAGTCTACCTGCCTCACAGGTGTCACATGGAATTCAGGTGAAGGGTCCTTGGGATCGTTTTGGAAACTTGTGGTCCGCCGGGTGGTGGGAGTGAGGAAGTGACTGGGCTCGGCTCACACAGACTGCCACCATCAATGGCTGTGTGGCGGTCACCCAGGCCATATGGGACATGGCTCTCTTTTCAGCTGGGATCCCAGAGAATCAGTAACTGTTCTCGCTAACTGGAGCAGAACAAACATCTCCTGCAGTGAGGCAGAAAGAAGAGGCCTGGGGTGAGTGCCTGGGGGCAGACTCCTGTGGGAGCAGAGAGGGTGGTGGGCATTGGCAGGCCATTGAGCAGTGTTGGCTGTGGGAGGGATAACTGGCAACGGATGTCCCAGTGCGGTGTGTGGTGGTTTCTGTTGTGCTGTGCACTTGGGTCTCAGTTACATTTTAATTAAAACTCATTGAGCTCTCCTGTAACTGAGTGTAACCAAGTGGGGGGCCCAAATGGGGATTTGTAATGGGGTCCAGAACTCAGGGTGTCTAGGAAATATTAAAAAGGAAAAAAATATATATAGGATGTCTGAGCTGGGGGATGGGACACATGGAGTAGGACCATTGAGAGTTGTTTTGAATAGCAACAGTTTTGCAGCTAACCTCTGGTGTGGTCATTTAACATATCTATAGCCTTTAACTGGTTCCATAGATATGTTAAATAGCTGTGACCACTGCTATGAACCATGAGGATGGGAGTGATTTCCACCCAGGATGTAACTGGGAGGCAACTCCCCCTGGTTATAGAACCTGTGTAAAAGCTTGCAGATGATTGGCTCCACAACATGGGATGGTGCCTGCCTGGACTTACTATGGGAACCCAGTAAAACTGGAAGAATACGGGAATGCTGGCAGGTGTAACTGATTGTGGGAGTGATACAGGGTGCAGCCAGGGGGGCCCCCCCAAAAAAAAAGATTTAGAAAGGTGTGCAGAATTCAAGGTGTATAGGAATATTGGAGAGACATATTAAGATGTCCTCACCGCCCCCCCCCCCCCCAGGGGGAAGGGATGAATGGAGCCAGGGCCATTGAGAGCTGTTTTGCATAGCAACAGTTTTGCAGCTAACCTCTGGAGGAATGGTTATTTAACATATCTATAACCTTTAACTGGTTTCATAGATATGTTAAATAGCAGTGGCCAAGTTTGGAGCAGAAGGGAGAAGAGAGAAGGAACTAGCAGAGACTCAGGAGAAAGAAACTAGGGGCTACTCTCCTGAGTGAGAAAGGCTTGGACTCAGAATGTAACTAGGGGCTGCACTCCTGAGGGAGAAGGTAGTGGACGGGGACTCAGGAGGATGTAATTAAGGTCTGCACTCCTGAGTGAGAAGGGCTTGAGGACTCAGGATGTAACGAGGGACTGTGCTCCTGAGTGAGAAGGCCTGGGAGGGAGAGCCACGCGGTTTCAGCAGAGTGAGGACCCCCTCTTGGTGAGGTGAAAGAGGGAGCCACGTGGTTTTGGCAGGGTGCGGACCCCCTCTTTCCCAGGTGAAAGGGAAGAACCACGCAGCTTTGCCAGAATGGAGATCCCTGCAGCCAGGTGAAGAAGAAAGCCACATGCTTTTAGTGGAGTGCGGACTCCTGCAGCTTTGGTAGAAGAGGCCCACGCGGCTTTGGGGTGCCCCTTTGGCCGCGGGGCCTGAAAAAGCAAGAGAGACTTTGACTGGAACTGGGTACAAAGTACTCTTGCCAGTGGACCATGAGAGGGTACCACAGTACTTTGGATTAACTCGAGATCCTGCACAGTGACACAGCTGACGGTGGCAGCAGCCTGCAATACAGACGTGTGCTCTTTTCCTGATTTACGGTACCCGGAGTTGGGACAGTGGGAGAAGGGAGCGCTGTGTGGGTGTAGGTGTATACATAAAGGACTTTGATATTTTAGTAGTGGCGTTAGGCCTGAATAGCATTAAATAAACATTTTGTTTACTTTTCACAAATCTCTGGCTTTAAGAGATGTCTTTCCAATTGGCGGCGGACAGAAGGGCCCAGTAGATTTTAGTATTTTGTTTTCGGGAGGGGCCCCTGTTATATAGCAGTTTTGGGCATCCCTAGGTGAGCCAAATATTGTATTGCCCCTCCCTCGGACCTCCTCTTGTTGTTCGGTAACAGGAGGAGTTGGAAATGGGGCTGTAGAGAAAGATTGGCGCTAGGATTTAAACCCAGGTGCGACAGCCATGTGGGCTTCTTGGGACAACATGGCTTTGGTGAAAGTTGGGACTGTGCAGCTTTAGGGTGTGCCCTTTTTGCCATGTGGCTTAGGAGGCAGGAGAGACTTTGCCTGGAAGAAAAGGGGTGAAAGGATTTTTGCTGATGGGCCATGGGAAGGTACCACATGGTTTTGGATTAACTGGAGACTGGGATGGCAACACAGCTGATGATGCTGGAACTGAGGGGCTGCCTGAACCACAGACTTCTTCTTTTCCTGAAATAGGTACCCAAGACTGGGCAGAGGGAGAAGGAAGGGCTGTGCGTTTGTGGGTATTTTAATGGACTTTAGTATTTTAATGAAGACACTAGATCATTACTCTAAGTCTGTACTACTTTTTAAATAAACAATTCCTTTCCTTTTCACCAATCTCTGGCATTGAGAGACGCTTTTCCCTGGCATTGGGCAAGGTAAACCTAGCATGGGGGGGGCGTGGATGGGGACCCTGGAACAGAAGGGTGAGTCCATTCGGTAATAGTATATCATTCACATCCTACCACAGGTCTGTTCTGTAACACTTCTTTCAAAGAGAAGTCTCCATCATTTTCAGTTAATCTTCTGGTCTTCACAAGAGTGACTTAAAATTTAAGTCAGGCCCTGGTTGGATAGCTCAGTTGGTTATGATGTCGTCCTCATGCACTGAGGTGGTGGGTTTTATCCCTGGCCAGGGCACATACGAGAGTCAACCAATGAACGTGTGAATAAGTGGAACAACAAATTGATGTTTCTCTCTCTCTCTCTCTCTCAAATCAATAAGTAAAAATTAAAAAAAATTTAAGAGTCAGTCTTCCAGATGCATCTTCGTTTCACCACTGCCCTTGAAACACCAGTGTCCTGAAATGATTACAAGCATAAAGAATTCTACTGGAAACACCTCTTACCTGGCTGTGTTTGCTGGTTGTTGCACAACTGTAAGCCATACTCAAGGGCTGGCAACCTTAAAGATGCTTTCCTAAAATGACAACTCGATAAAATAACAAGGTTGAAATTCCAGCTTTGTCACTGGAGGAAAATGTCACTATTCATTCAACATGAGGACCAAAATAAAAGGCATAGTATCATCTTAATAGTTACCCTGAAAATAATTTGATGACACTCAATCATTTTAAAACATTATACTCTCAGAATTAAAAGTTTCTTCGATAGAATAAAGCATACCTGTTTTAAACCCCAAAGCAGCACTGGTAAAGTAACTTCAAAATTAGGAACAAAAGTGGATTCCTTTATCTTTCCACTAATAATGAATGAACAAATTGTTTATAGCCTGCCCAGTTCCAGAAAGAATTAAAGGTAGTTCAAGTTGCTCTGGTTTGGAATCCTGGTTAATTCAGTAAGAAAAGATAAAAGAAAAAACAGACAACACAAGAACCTTTGTATGGATAGTGGATATAAAAGAATCAGCAAAAATATAAGTTAAAGAGTTTAAGAAAGAATACTAATACAAGCTGTATACATAAAGTTGGCAAATCTTTCTAAATACCAGCAATCGCTAGAAAACAATGAAAAAATCCATGCATGACAGAAACAAGTGATCTAACATACTTAAAAATAACCATAATATATGCCTGACCTTTTAAAGAGAATTGCAGACCCTGTGGGGTGGGGGCAGGGTGACAGACATGAGATATTCCAACATGCACACTCTTAGTGTTGTGAAAATGTCTGTGCCTTAGGTTATTTTGCAAACATAACCTACCTCCAATCGATCCCAACAGTATTTTTCTGAACGTTACAGGCTCTGGTAAAGAAACAGATAATGATTTCAAAAGAACAGTCTTTTTTAATTTTTTAACTTTATTTTTATTGTTGATACTTTTACAGATGTCCCCATTCCCCCTGCCCTTTGCCCAGCTCCACCCAGGTTCCCTCTGCCCTTCCCTCTGACCATCACCACACTGTTGTCTGTGTCTGTGAATTATGCACATATGTTCTTTGGCTGATCCCTTCATCTCCTTTCATCCAGTTTCCCCTCCCCTCTGACAGCTGTCAGTCTGTTCCATGTATCCATACCTTTATTTCTATTTTGTTTGTCATCTTATTTTGTTCATTAGATTCCACATATAAGTGAAATCATATGGTATTTGTCTTTCTCTGTCTGGCTTATTTCACTTAGCATAATGCTCTCCAGGTCCATCCATGCTGTCACAAAAGGTAAGATTTCCTTCCTTTTTTTTCTTTTTACACTTGTGTAGTATTCCATTGTGTAAATGTACCACAGCTTTTTTATCTATTCATGTACTGACGGACACTCAGGCTGTTTCCAGACCTTGCCTATTATAAATAATGCTGCTATGGACATAGGGGTACATATGGTCTTTCAAATTAGTGTTTCAGGATTCTTAAGATCTATTTCCAGAAGTGGAAATGCTGGGTCAAAACGCAGTTCCATTTTTTAATTTTCCAAAGAAACTCCATACTGTTTTTCACAGTGGCTGCACCAGGCTTCCCTTTCCTCCACATTCTTGCCAACACTTGTCGTTTGTTGATTTATTGACGATAGCCATTCTGACAGGTATGAGGTGGTACCTCATTGTGGCTTTAATCTGTATCCCTTTGACGACTGGTGATGCTAGGCATTTTTCATATGTCTATTAGCCACCTGTAAAAAAACCCCCATTTTTAATTGGGTTGTTTGCCTTTCTGGTGTTGATGTATAAGTTCTTTATATGTTTTGGAAATTAACCCCTTATCAGATGTATCACTGGCCAATATGTCCTCCCATTCGGTGGGTTTCTTTGTTGTTTTTTTTGCCGGCTTCCTTCGCTGTGCAAAGGCTTCTTAGTTTGCTGCAATCCCATCTGTTTACTTCTCCCTTCGCTTCCCTTGCCCTAGGAGATGTACTGGAACAATATTGCTGTAAGAGATTTTTGAGATTTTACTGCCTGCGTTTCATTGTAGGATTTTTATGGTTTTGTGACTTATATTTAAGTCATTTATCCATTCCGGCTTTGTGTATGGTTTCATTTCGTGGTCTAGTTTTATCGTTTGTCTGCACCTGTCCGATTTCCCAACACTGTTTATTGAAGAGACTGTGTTTACTTCACTGCGTTCTCTTACCTCCTTTGTCAAATATTAATTGACCACAAAGGCGTGGGTTTGTTTCTGGGCTTTCTGTTCTGTTCTGTGGATATATGAGCATCAAAGATGTTCTTTAAAAAGAAGGGCAAGTCTCAAGATCTAGAAGGCTCAACATTAGAGCACTTTATAAAATAATAATTTAAAATTTATTAAAAATGAATGATGGGAAATTGGCTAGCATTGAAGAATTTTAATTTTGAACTCCCCCTTATACCAAAATAGACCACAGATGGATTAAAGAGCTAAAGATCTTTAAAAAAAATAGAAAAGTTAGCACAAAATGCAAAAATTATTACATTTATAAAGAAAGACCCCTCTCAGCTTTGAAGCGAGGGAGAGACAGCACTGGAATATGCAGACAACAAACAGCAAAAACAGCACAAAAGCTCCTCCCCACGAACAGAGTGCAACAGAAGAGAGAATGCCGGACACGCAGAGGTGGTTGCCCCGACAGCAGTAACGAAGGGTCGATAGCTCTGCCACAGAAAGAGTTCATTAAATTTTTATAAGGAAGAGAGATTATGACCCAACGGATAAGTAGGTGACACATTTAAGCATGCTATTCACTTGAGGCGAGTCAGTGTGTTAACAAACACGGGGAAAATGGTTAGCCTTGCTAGGAATCAGAGCAATTAAAATTAAAGCAAGCTTGAGGTGCTGTTAGATAGTTGCTAAAGTAGCAGGAAACATCGCCCCCAAACGTACACTTGTGACAAGTCACCGTGGCAAGTTTGGGGTGAGGGTGTGGGCTGTGGCTTGGGTGCAGCCAAACTCTGTTGCCCTCAGAGGTAATGTGAGTAGCCCCACTCTTTAAGGGGACGGTGCGCAATGAGTTGAAAATATACATCCTTTGGTCCTATTAGTTTGCTTCTGAAAGGAAAAAAATGATCCCTTTGAAGATATTCAACATGGCATGACTCAGTAATTAAAATTTCAAAGTAACCTGTATCCCCAGTAACAGGAAAGTTATTTAGTAAATTAGGGGGCATCCATGCTATTTTGGTTTACACAGCTATTAAATTTGATTATAAAAGTGTGCAGGAACGCAGAAAACTTTTTCATGTGTGTCTAAGCAGACAAAACCCCCATGTGAGCACCAAACTACGCGCATATCACAATCGTGATGAAGGAAAAAGTGTGCCTGTGCAGACCCAGGCTGGAAGGATAGACATGCAAATGCAAACCATTTTGTTAGGGTTGGAATTTTCAGTGCCTTGGCAGTTATTGTTGTTTTAATTTAAAAAGTCCAAGGCTTGCAGGATCCACATCATACTCTCTTTCCCAGCCACAGTCCCTGCCCTGGCTGGAATCTGTCCCCTGGGGCCACCTGGAGGCCCAGTTCCTTGGGTCTGGGCCCTGCCCGGCTTCTCGGAAACCAGGCTGCTGATAGCCCCGGATGTGGACAACCAGGCCAGCAGCTTCCCAGGAGGCCTGGCAGCCTCCGCACTCCCAGCAGCTTTGAGGCCTTGGCACCTGCTGCCTCTGCGGGTCCAGTCCCCTGGCAGCAGGACCTGACTGTCATTCCAGACAAATTATTACTGTGGTTCTTAAACTGACCAGCTTCATCCTGGTGGCTGGTGTTGCCAGGCCGTCTCAGATAGTGGGCTGGAGCCTGGAGCCTGGAGCCTGGAGCCTAGAACCAGCAGGGCTGCTTCCACAGCCCAGCCTAGAACTTCCACCCCTAACACAGCCCCCTTTGAGTTGCAGGGACGGGTCCTGGGAGCTGGTGCAGGCAGCCAGGAGCCCACTGCCACAGCTGCCCTGGGCAGTTGGGCCGCCTCTGAGAGCCAAGCTACCCGCCCCTGGGACCCTGCCCCGAGAGGAGCTCCACGCCCACCCCACCCCCATTCCCAGAGCTGCACGTGTGTGTGTGTGTGTGTGCGGGGGCTGATGTAACTGGATTCCTCTTTTTCTTCTCTCCTTCGTGCCTTGTGCGTTTATTGCTTGGGCCCTCTGTCCTGGTTTCTGTGGGGACTGCCCTTGGGCCTCCACTGTCAACTCTGAGCTTGTAGTCTCTGTGGTCCTTTCTCCAAGCCTCTGCTTATAGGGCCTGAGCGCCCAGGGTTATGAGCAATAATAAGGGTAAAGGAATCAGCACAGCAGGTGGACTGCACTTCACAGTCTGCAAAGGGCTTCCCTGCACACTTGTTATCTGTGCCATTCGTTCCCTCGGGACAGTCTCTGTTCTGAGCTAATCTTAATGCTGAAGTTGACTGGTTTCCACAAAAACCTTCAACCCACCAACGATGTCATGATTTCCCAGAGACCCTCGAGAACATGAGGAGAGGTCGCACCGTGTAGGGCGTGGCCCTTTGCTGGGAACTTTGTGGCAGGTGTGTTTCTTCAGCCACAGATCTTCTGTCTTCAGGCCCGAACGGCCAGCCCGACCCTGGGCGTGAACATCCTCCTTGCCAGGGACGGTCCCTTCCAGTAGGGGCTCTCGTTCCAGCCGCTATGGCAGCATGGTTTGTCATCCTAGAAGCAAGGGGCCCTCTCTGCATTTATACCATAATAAAACTCTTATTGATTTTAATAAAATTGAAAAATCTCTTTGTGAATGAAAACCCTGGGGCCCCACCCGATAACTGCTGACTTGCTGCATTTTCTCTGCGCTTGGTCACTATGATTCATGCCTGGGTACCGTTTCGGTTGAGGGCTGGTTTCCCCGGCAGAATAGATGTGATCTATAAAAAGTTGCACGTTCAAGGATCTTCCGAGGGTCGTGGCCGGAGGGAGGAAATGCTCCAGTGGGAAGGTCAGAGGCGCGGGATCATCCCGGAGGCAGCCCGGGGAAGGAGCAGAGCCCGTTTCCGAGGACGCCTGTGTCCTCAGCCCCTACTGCTGAGCTCCGTGCAGCTCACGCCTTGTGAGCACCGCCTTCTCCCGCACTGCAGACCGCCCCACACTCAACTCCTCATTCCCCCCAAGTCAGACCACTGTCCAGGGGGTGCTCCCACCAGCAACCCAATGTCCTGTCCTCCTTGACTCCTGCTCCTTGAAGGGCGTGCTGCGTTTGTAACCCACTTCCACTCCTTTGCCCGCGCTCAAGCCTCCACCTAGCATTGGGTGCCCCCTGTTCCCTGACTCCCCTCTGCACTCCGTGCACCCAGCAGCTCCCTCTGCAAACCTTCACCCCTGGCATCCACACCGCCCTCTCCACACTGTGCTCTCATGGACGCCGTATACACCTCTCTTTCTGCTTTTGAAAGTAACACATAGCATGGACTGTATGATGGTCACATTGTTAAGTACTTCATCACTTAATCTTTACAACCATTCGAAGGGGGTAGGTAGCACTATCGCAGCCTCTCTCACAGAAGAGGAACAGGCCCAGAGAAGTGAGGGGACCTGCCAAAGGTCGTAATGAGGAAGTGTCAGAGGCATGGTGTGAACCCTGGGCTTGCTACCAATTTCCCCTCCCAGTGGTGAGTGTGCCAAGGCCTGGCATCCCACGTCCTTCACCTTCAGTTCCCAGTGCTGCCCCTGCTCTGGGATATTCAGTCTGCAGCCATGTGACTGGGACCCACAGCTTGCACGGTGACATCCCCTCCTCAGGGGATTCATTCCTGAGGGCCGAAGTTGTTTCCTCCCCCGCCAGTGACAAACCAGGCACCGTGCTTGGCACTTGGCCTCTCTCGCTGGGTCTCTCTCTCTCTCCCACTCCATGGGAGCCCCGGTGAGGTTAGGGCGACTTGAGAAGGACCCCGGTACTCACACACAGTTCAGCCCAACCCCAAAGCCAGGGCTCTCCCGCCATGCCCCGCTGCCCTCGCACCCATGTTTTATAATCCTTAGCCCAGGGCTTCTTTAGAACTGCGGACTCTGCCAGCTCTGGGTATGTCACCTTATGGAAATAATAAGTTATTTCATATCCTACTTGTTCAGCAGGATGTAAGATACAGGCCGGATAGACCAGGATGCAGTGGTATTGTCTCAAGGCCAGAGGCCTGGTGGGGCTGCTGCATTCTCAAAACAGGGACATGGGTGTGTGTGGCCTTCAAGTGAGGCATCCACGTGGTAGGGAACACTCTCCGTGTGCGTGTTCCATCCATTCCCCTTTTTAGGATTCCCCTCAGACACCCAGGGGCCCTGGGCAGTCCTGGGCCCTGTGGCTGCATGGCTGCCCCCCCTGCACCACACCCCCATCACAGCTGAGGAGACTGCAGGTGGACACCTGGCTTAGGCTGAACCTGACAGATTCTCTCCCAGGAAATGGAATTGTGCAGAGACAATGGTCAGCTTTAGCTGGGCCCTTGAGTGGAAGTAATATGCAGTCAGAGCTAGGACAGACTGACGTTGAGAGTGGGGGTTGGGAGAGAGAGAGAGGAGGGGATGGGACGGAGAGAAACAGCAGGTGTGAGAAGGGTGAGGAAACCAGAGGCCCTGGAGAGGCGGGGAGGGAGTGGCCTCAGCTCCTAGCCGGTCTCGCGGTGGTTATATTTCCTTTCAAGGCCTGGAGGGTCCTCCTTATTTTGTGTTCCAGGAGACACCCCTTTAGTTTTTCAGTTGCCCGCATTTTTATTTGTGTGAACTGCTCCCAGTGCATTTTTGTCACCTGCAACCAGAACCTCGAGTAAAATGTGGGACACCCTTGCCCCCGTGAGGAGGTGGGGAGGCCCAGGGGCCATGGGCCGCTGACTGCTTTGCTCTTTCTTCTCTTGCAGGAAAAAGTGACCCAGGCTCAGGGCATCAGGAACCTCGGCCAGCATCTCTGCATATCTGAAGGTCTTCGAGGCAAGGCTCAGGCCATGGAAGGTCCACAGAGAGAGTTTCAGATCTACATCAGAAAAGCCTTCTTGGTCAGTGTGTCCTGGGAGGGGGGGGCTGGACCTCCTGAGGGTGCAGCTGTGTCAGAGTGGAAGTCAGCATGTGGGAAGCTACACAGTGCTTAAGGCTTCCCCAAAACAATGGGTTCCTGTGAAATGACTTCGTCACTGGTGTTCCAGTGATGGGCCCATTATTCCAGAGGCTGGAGTTCTTGGTGTAAAGTAAGTGCGTGAAGTTCCCTGATGTAGGTGGGACCGACGACTCCCTCCCGGGAAATGGAACCACACAGAGACAATGACCAGGTTCAGCTGGCTCCCTCAAGGGGCCCCTCACTCACCTTCAGGAGACCTTGGAAGCTGACCCAAGACCAAGGTTGCACCCTGTGGCTCAGCATTTCAGAATCCCCTGGCTACAAAGCTGACGGAAGAGACCAAACCCCCGCTGTGGCTTGTCCCTGCTCCTAGCACCTGTCTTCTGTCATTTTGAAGGTATGAATGACAGAGAGGAGATCAAGTCAGTGGACAAGGAGCATCTGGAAATGGGCTGTGAGATTGGGATGATTCAGCATCAGGTCTGATCAATTCTTAGAGAAATTCACTCCTGGGGTGGTCACACAGGAAGGAGCCTGGTGTCAGTGAGCCCCGGATCCACTCCCCAGGTTGGGCTGTGATTTCCCTTCCAGATCCCTGGGTAGGGGTGATTGGGGTGGTGAAGCCCTACACCTCCAGCCTGGCAGGCACTTCCCAGGTGATGCTGGGAGTTTGTGGTCGACGTGGCTTCAGAAAGGGGGTTTCTTCTGTCCCCCTCCTCCCATCTCCCCCGCTGCTCCCCCCTCACCCACAGTGCCTCCCCTTCATTCTCTCTCCTCATTCTCCTGTGGTTCTGGAACCCTCTCCTCTGCACCATGACTCAGGCATCCAAGGCTGTTCCTAAGTACCTAATCTCATAGCCTCACAACCTCACAAGCTGATTGCTCTGTCCCTCAGCACAGAGCAGCCATGGGGAAGAGGGCTGGGATCTTCTAGAGGGTGTTCAAGTCCACTGATCTCTGACCACATCCCTGGAGCTGCCATCCTGTGCTGGGCCCATGGGGTGGTCCCTGACCCCTTCCTGCTCTGATGTCTGGGCTGCTGCTTTCTGAGCTAGGGGGACATTTCAGAGCATCCTGGCAGCGTTTCTCGGGAAGTGCCAATGAACCCAGGAGCCTGTGGAAGGGGAATGGAAGGTCCTGGGTTTCAGCCAGGTTGGGTCTTGAATTCAGGAACTCCACAGAAACCCAGGGCAGAGACTAAGTCTGAACTTTGGACTTGGACCCAGAATGGACCTGCAAGCTTGGCCTCAGCTTAGATGCTCTCCTCCTGCTTTTTTTTTTTTAAGTTTTATTTGTTTATTTATCTTTTTGAAAGAGAGGAGGAGGAAGGGAGAAAGAGAAACATTAATGCACAAGAGAAACATTGATTGGCTGCCCCCCACAGACCCCCAACCAGGGACCCAGCCCGAAACAAAGGCATGTGCTATGACTGGAATCAAACCAGTAACCTCGAGGTTTTGGGATGACACCAACTCACTGAACCACACCAGTCAGGGCTCCACCTGTTTTTTATTCATTCATTTTCTCCTTCATCTGTTTATTATTCACCTCTAATCTATCATCACTCACTCCTTTATTCTTCATTCATCCATTTTTAAACTTACATATGCATTCTTGATCTATTTACTAATTCATATACTCATCCATTTTTTTCTTTTTATTTCCAGCTTTATAGAGAGAGGCACAGGAAACAGGACATACTAGAAGTGTACAATCTGGTAAGCCTTGACATATGCATGCAGCATGAATCCATCACCACAATCAGGGAAATAAACACACCCATTGCCCTGAAGCTCCCTTATGCTTTTTGATGTACTCTCACCTGTAGCCGACCACTGGTCTGCTTTCTTAGGCTGTAGATTAGTTAGCATTTTCTAGAGTTTTATATAATGGCATGCTACAGTACACACTCACTGTTCTTCACCTTCTGGCTTCTTTACTTTAACCAGAGGGGAGAGAAAGTTTCCTCCACGTTGTAGCATGTATCAGTACTTCATTCCTTTTTCATGGCTGAATAATATTCCAATGTGTGGATATACCACAGTTTGTTTACCCATTCACCTGTTGATGGACACTTGGGTTGCTCCCAGTGTTGGCCCACAAGTCATTGTAAAGACATCGTCTTGCATTTCTCTTGGGTAAACAATCAGGACTGAAACAACCGGATCTTATGGAAGGGGTATGGTTAACTTTTTTTTAATTGAAATTTTTATTGAGATAATTATAGATTCACATGCAGTTTTTAAAAATGATACAGAGAGAGCCTGTATAATTTTACCCACATTCCTCCAATGATAACATTTTGCAAAACTATAGCACAATGTCATAATCAGAATGTTGGCCTGGATAAAATCCATCCATCTTGTTCAGGTTTCTCCTGTTTTACTTGTGTGAATTTGTGTATATGTGTGTGTTTAGCTATGTACAACTTTATTACATGTACAGAGTCACCTGCTCACCACCACAATTAGGATACTCTAACAGTCCCGTCAGAACAGCAGTTTCTCATCTTGCCTTTTCAAATTACACACACCTCCCTCCTGTTCTTGCCCCCAGTCCTAATCCCAATCACAAATTTGTTTTCTGTTTCTAAAATTTTGTCATTTCGAAAATGTTATATACATGAAACTGCCCAGTATATACCCTCTTGGCACTGGCTTCTTTCCATTCAGCATAATTCCATGTGGAATCTTCTAGGATGTTGCATATCTCAGTCATTCACACCTTTTCATTGCTGAGTAATCTTCCATTTTATGAATGTACCACAGCTTGTTTAACCATTCATCTATTGAAGGACATCTGGGTTAATTCCATTTTGGGGTTATTATGAACAAACAGTGTGGAACACCTTTCAGTGTTCTCACCTGCACTGGAGCAGTGATCCAGTTCTCTACATCCTTGCCAGCATTTGGCGTGGTCACTATTTTGATAGATGTGTAGGATATCTCTTATTGTTTTAATTTGTATTTCCCTTTGTATTTTGATGTTGGATATCTTTTTATGTGCTTATTTGCCATCTCTATATCCTCTTCAGCAAAATATTTGTTTATGATTTTACTCATTTTCCAATTTTATTGTTTATTTTTACTGTTGAGTATTGGAAGTTCTTTGTATACTAGAGATACAAGTTCTTTGTTGAATACATGGTTTGTAAATATTTTCTCCCAGTCTTTGCTTTGTATTTTCATCCTTTAACTACATCCTTCCAAGAACAAAAGTTTTTCCTTTTGGTACAGTCCAATGCAATTTTCCCTTTTCTGAAACATCCTTTTGGTAACAACTCAAACAATTCTTTGCCTTGACTTAGGTACAGAAGGTTTTCTCCTATTTTTTGTAAAAGCTTTATAGTTTTACATTTTAATAGAAGTCAGTGATACATTTTGAGTTAATTTTGTATAATGTATAACATTTAGATTGAGGTACAAATTGTATTTTATTTATTTATTTTTAAAAGGAGGGGAAAAGAGGGAGAAAGAGAGGGAGAAAAACATTGATGTGAGAGAGAAACACCAGTTGGTTGCCTCTTATACAGGTCCCACTGGGGACCAAATCAGCAACCCAGGCATGTGCCCTGACCTGCGGGCTCGAACCTGTAAGGATGCCCAACTAACTGAGCCTCACTGGTAAGGGCGATTGGGGTGCAATTCTTTGCCTATGAATGTCTTTTCTCCACTGAATTGGCTTTGCACCTTTGTCAGAAGAACAGTTGAGCATATTTTTGTGAGTCTACTTTTGGGTTCACTATTCTGTTCCATTGATCTGTGTGTCTCTCCCCACATGGTTTTAATTACTATGACAATGATATTGAATCAAGTGATCCCTCCTACTCTGTTCTTCATCATCAAGGTTGCTTTAATTATTCTATGGTCTATAACTTTCCATATAAATTTTAGAATAAGCTAGTTTATGCCCTGAGAAACCTTGCTAGTATTTTGATAGAAATTACATTAAACCTGTAGATCAATTTGGAGACCTTTTAACTATGTTAAATCTTCTAATCCATAAACACATGTCTCTTTATTTATGTCTTCTTTGATGTCTTCCACCAGAATTTTGTAATTTTCAATATGCTGATCTTGCACATATTATATTAAATGTATACCTAAGTATTTCATCATCTTTGAAGCAGTTGTAAGTAATATTGTGTTTTTAATTTCAGTTTCTGTATATTTGTTGTTAGTACATAACAACACATATATTTGGTTTGTGTGAACTGATCTTTTATCTTGAGAACTTGCTGGGCTTGTTAGTTCTATGAGTATTTTTTTGTTGTTGATTTTTGAGATTTTATACATAGATAATCATATCATCTGTGAATAAGAACAGTTTATTTCTTCCTTTCCAATATGTATGTCTTTTATATATTTTTCTTGCCAGTTGCAGTAGCCAGAATTCCTAGTACTATGTCAAATAAAAGTAGTGAGAATAGACATTTTGAGAAAGTATAACATCTTTAACCTTTAAGTCTAATGACAGCCACAGATTTTTTTGAGCTGCTTTTATCAATGGGGTAATTTCTTTCTATTCCTAACTTCCTGGTTTGTTAAAAATTCATGAGTGGGTGTTGGATTTTGTCAAATGTTTTTTCTACATTAATTAAGATGATCATATAATTTTTCTTTAGTTTGTTGGTATGGTGGATTACAATTGATTTTTTTTATTGTTAAATCAATGTTGCATACCCACTTGATTATCATGTATAATATCTTTTATACTTTATTGAATTCACCTTGATACATTTTGTTAACTTTTGCATCTTAATTTATGGGAGATATTAGTATCAGTTTAATATTGGTCTTATAAAATAAGTTGGCAAGTGCTTTTTCTTCTTCTGTTTTATGAGAGATTGTATAAAATTTGGGTTAATTGTTTTTAGCTTTATTGAGGTATAATTGACAAAAATTGCATACATTTACCATGTACAGTATGATGTTTTGATATAGTATACACTGTAAAATGGTTCCCATAATCCATCTAATTAACACGTGGTGAGAACACTTAAGATCTATTCTCTTAGCAAATTTCAAGTACTCAGTACAGTATTATTAGTTAGTCACCATGTGGTATATGAGATCATCAGAAACCCATCCTGTATAGCTGGAACTCTGTACCCTTTGACCAGTACCCCCCATTTACCCAAACCCCCAGTCCCTGACAGCCACCGTTCCACATTCTACTCTCAGTATATGTTTGGCTTTTTAAAATATTTAACATATAAGTGAGATTATGTGGTATTTGTTTTTCTGCATTTGGCTTGTTTCACTTAGCCCCAGGTTTATCCACGTGGTCTCGAATGGCAAGATCTGCCTTTTTGAAGTGGAATAATATTCCATTGTCTCTATGTATTTTCTCTACCCATTCATCTGTCGGAGGGCCCTTAGGATGATGGCATGTCTTGCCTGTTATGAGTAACGCTGCAATGAACTTGGGAGTTCAGATATCCTGTTCTGTTGTGTATACTGGTGTCCCCAGATGTAGGACTGCTGGATCATATGGTGGTGCTCTTTTTAATTTTTGAAGAACCTCCAAACTGCTTCTATAATGGCTGTAACAGTTTATATTCCTTCCAATGGTGCACAAAGATTCCCTTTTCCTCCATATCCTTGCCAACACTTGGTATTGTTTTGTTGTCTTTTTGATGATGACCATGCAGAGGGTGTGAGATGATCTCTCATAGCCGTTTTGATTTGCATTTCTCTGATGATGCATAATGATGAACAGTTTTTCATATGCCTGCTGGCCATTTGTATATTTTCTTTTGAGAGGTGTTAGTTATTGTTTAAGTGTTTAATAGAATTCTTCCATAAAACCACCTGGGCTTGGGGATTCCTTTCACTGGAGGTTTTCATTACGAATTCAATTTATTTAATGGTTCTGAGGCTATTCAGGTAATATCTTTAATCTTGGCTAAGTTTGGATGGGTTAGAGTTTTCTAGAAATTGGTCCATTTTTTCTTCACTGTGTTGTATTATGAGTGTAAAGGTATTTGTAGTTTTCCCTTATTCTCCTTTTCATGGCTCCGGGGTCTGTGGAGACATCCCTACTTCACTGCTGATACTGGTGAATTGTATTTCTCTCTTTTTTATTTTTGTCAGTTTTGCTAGAGGTTTGTAAGCTTTATTGATTTTTTTTCAAAGAACCAGATTTTTGTTTCATTGATTTTCTTTATCATTTTCCTATTTTCAACTTCATTAATTTTTGCTCTGATTTTTATGATCTTTCTTATTGCATTGGGTTTGTTTCACTTTTTTTTCCCCTAGTTTCTTGAAGCAGAGCTTAGACGACGGACCTGAGACCTTCTTCATTTCTAATGTAAACATTCAGTTCTGTATAACTTCCTCTCTGCACCGCTTTGAAATGGTTGTTTTCTTGATTCTTGGTGTGATAAGTGATTTTTGGTGGTATGCTTGATATTTTATCTTTTACGTTAGGAGACATTGGGTAGCATTTAATTGTTTTATTTAGCAGGCAGACACCCTGTTTGCTTATGCAGGCAGTGGTTCTAATGGCAGTTCAAGGTTAAGACTTGTGTGGTATGAAACTGGTTTGTTCGGTGTACCTGGTGTCACTGTGGCTCCCGCTGTTCTGTGGTGCTGGCCGAGAGGGCACAGCCCAGGCCGGGCTGCTCAGTGCCCTTCGTGCGGAGGGAGCTTCAGGCCTGTGGGATCAAGGAAGCTCCCTGGGCTGGGCCGCTGGTTGTGGTGGGGTCTTCTTGCCAGGGGGCTTGTGGTGGGAACTCCTTTGACAATGCCACTGGCTTTCCTCGTATCTCTTGCCAGGAGAACCGAGTCTAAGACCTACCCCAGACTAGAAACTCTACAAATATCTGTCAAAAAAGTGAGAATGAATGTAGCAGCCATCATTCATGCCTCCTTCCTTTCCTCCACTGATTAACGAATTCATCCTACTCGTCTCCACTAGGAAGCATGGTGCATTTTAGCTGTCCATGTAGCCATCTCACAACAGTGGAATTGGCAGGCATTTCAGCTCAGTCCAGCATGGCTGGACTGCCAGGACACTGCCCGCCACTTAAGCACAAACTGCCAGGACCTCTCACAGCTGCTTGCTCCCTCCCTGATCCCTGCCGGCAGCTATGTGCTCACAGTTTCCTCTGCTGATCAGGTCACGAGAGGGGAGACAAGCTGCATCTCAAAGCTTTATCACTCCATTCCAATTCTCCCTGAAGAAGAGAGCAACTGGCCTCCTCCCATACCTTCTCCCTCTCTGTCTCTCCGGTGTCCCTGAGACCTGGATCTGAGACTTTCTCCGGCAAAGAGAAACAAATCTTCTTGTCTTTGCTGCATCTCAAAAGAGAGAGCATCCCTGGCCTTGCCAGGCTGCTGGTGCCGAGGAAGCAGCAGAGTTGCTAGAGGCCAAGAGCGAGTTGTTCTCACAGCAGAGATTTACTGAGCACATGCCTGCATTGCACATTGCGCTGAGCCAGACAGACCCAGCTCCTGCTCTTGCAGAGCCTGTGGTCTTGTGGGGAGACTGATAGACATCAAATAATCAAATACTGAAATGTAATCTGCACAAACTGGGATGGGTGTTGTGAGAAAAAGGTGCATGATACTATGAGAAAATATAACACGGGGGCCTGAGCTAATCTATGCAGTCATGGAAGTGACAGTTGAACTGAGAGAGAAAGGGAGAACAGTATTTAATTGGAGAAGAGATAGGGTGTGGAAAGGAGAGAGCGTGACAGCTAGAACAGCATGTGCCAAGGACCTGTGGTTGGAGACACAGAAGAGGACTGCATGGCAGGTGCACACAGAGCGAGACTGAGACCAGACCAGTAGACAGGCACCGGGTCATACAAGTTCCTGTTGGCCACAGGAAGGATTTTATTCTTTTTTTAATGGTTATTTTATTTTATTTTAATTGTTGTTCAAGTACAGTTTTGTGCCCTTTACCCCCATCCCAGCCCACCCCCCAGCCCTCCCCACCTCCCTCCCATTTCCATCCCCAGGATTTTATTCTTTATCTTAATTGTCTTCAGAAAAAGGGGGGTGATGTGATCTTATCTGTGTCTCGAAGAGGTCGGTCTGACTACTGTGTAGAGAGAGGATTCAGCAGGAAAGAGAGGAGCTGGAAAGGCAAGCTAGCTGGCTGAGGCCAAAGCCCTGACCAGAGGTGCAGTCAGCCTGGTCTAGGGTGTAGGGTGGGGAGGGTGGGAAGAAAGCAGTGGGCAGGGAGTGTAGGAGGTACAGCCACTGAGACCCCCTGCACGCTCTTGGTGGGGTGTGGATGTAGAGGGTGAAGGACAGCGCTTCACAAAGAGCAGGGCCCTGCAAAGAGCCGGGCCTGGGCTCGCAAGCCTTTTCCTAAGAGAGAAAGATAGTCAGGTTTAGAAAGAAAGACCCCGGCTGCAGTTTTGGATTTGTCAAGTTTGTGACCTCTTTGTGACGTCAAGTAGACAGGTGGGCACTAAGTCTGGAGCCCAGGGCAAAGACTGGAGGCAGAGCCTGAGGGCAGTGACTGCAGTCATGGCTGGAGGACAGTCAATCACCTGGGGAGAGAGTGGGAGGTCAGAGGGGAAAAGCGAGGGAGCAGACAGAGATTTGGGAGGCAAGGAATGGGCGCAACAGTAGAAACATAAAAACATCAAAAGGAAATACAGAAAAAAAATAACAGTGTAATCCTAGGGAAGGAATGCTTTCCGGTGTGAGTCCCAAAACCCAGAAGGCATAAATAAAAAGATAGGTCTGAATTCCTTAAAACGTGTAACATCTCCGGACAAGGAAGACAAACAAGGTTAAAAAACGAGCAATGACTGAAATGAAATATTTGCAATCTATTCAAAAGACAAAACTAAAATCCTGAAATTCTACAGGAAAAAGACAGCCTAATAGAACCCTGAAGGCAGGAATGGCCAGGGAGGAAAGTGTGCCCCACCTTCCCAAGAACCAGCTATGAGGTCTCTTTGCCCGTCAGTGCAGCAAAGGCTGAACGAACGTATCACTTGCACTGTGGGGAAAGAGAGGCTTCTATCTTATTGGCAAATATGTTTGCAGGGCGACGTAGCAGAACCTGTCAAAACCGTAAGCAGGAACATCTTATGTATAATTTATATGAAAAGAAAACTCATACATATGCCTCAAAATACATTTACATATAAAAGAAGTTTAGTGCAGTATTTTTTTAGAGAGGTTGAAACACCGGGAAGTCACATGACTCTGTGCACCCCTTGCATGCGGTGTGGGCCAGCTCCTGTGGCAAAGGCACGGTGTTTGTGGGCACGAGGTGGTGACAGTGTGCAGCACTGTCCCCGAGGGAGGAAGTAGGAAGGGGGGTGGCGGGGGGGGGGAGGGAGCTGGAGGGAGATTTTACATACTATTCTGGAAACTTCTGCCTTGTTTGAATGATGCATAACAAGAACGTGTTCTTGTATTAGCTGTATAATTTTAAAAGTTACAAAAAAATACAAATTTTGAATTGGCTTCTGTGGAAAGAGGGCTGGAGGGACAGGCCTGGTGCTGGCAGTCTCCACTGCCTCTGCTCTGTCCCCTGCTGGCTAGGGAGTGGGCATTCTGGTGCCTTGGGCCGCTTGTCCTCAGGCCCCAGGTCCCTCTTGGCCCAGGTGGCTGGCCACAGGTTGCTCCTTCACGGGCCAGCGTGGAAGCCCCCAGCCTGCTGGAAAGGGGTCCCAAGGGAGGGAGGCCCAACACCACTGTACAACATGCTCTGACCCCCTATTTAAAAGCACACCGACTCCCCATTCATTCACAGAACCTGGCAGAATATTTTCGAATAAATCATGAGCACGGCAGTTACATTCTCTAAACCACACTGGAAAAAAGATTACGGTATTTACTGTGGGGACAGAAAGATTGATTCCCGCCCAGAAAATCTGCCAGGTTCTTGATTTAGGGAGTCAGTGATCAGCACAGGTTAGCTCTGATTTATATCAGCTTGCTTTTCCACAGGTTCCTCTCCTGCTCCAGGGCACACTTTGGATGGAACAGCTCTGGAGTGCCTACTGTCCTGCTAGTCCCTTGCAGGATGTCCCACAGGCTGATGGATACAGGCAGAGATCACTGCCCCACAGCTGCCTCCCGCTGTGCCCTCAATCTGATCCCTGCTTGGTGCCCCCTGTCACCTGCTGGACAGAGCTCCGCACCTCAGCCTGGGGTTGCAGGACCTCCTACATGGAGCCTTTGCCACCTCTGCAGGCCTTGCTCCCATCACCCCTGTCCATGCTACACACTCTGTGTGTGCTTTCTTCACCATGTGCCTCCTGCATGACTGACTCTGTCCTGCGGTAAGGGACGCACACAGGAACCCGGCCCCATCCCGTCCTTGGACAGCTCAGAGTCTGGCACAGGGCTCGGGCTCACACTCAGTTCCGTGTGGTAAGTTCTGTGATGGGTGGGCTGAGCGGGCCAAGGAGAGGCAGCCTCCACGCCTCTCCTCCTCTGTCCTCTGTGTGTCCCCAGTGTCCCTGGGTCACTCTGTCACAACCCTTGTCTCACCTTCTTGTTCTTGTTGCCTTACTCCTCATTCATGTGTGCTGTGTCCACATTTCTTCCAGGCCAAGCCTGAGGCCTGGGATGCACTTGGACTCATTAAATGTCCACTGACCTGACCTGAATGATTGGCTGCCCTTGTCTTAGGTGTAGGCCATTCTTGGGAATGAGCACCTGCTAACTAGGAGTCACCAGTGACACTTTGTAGAGATTTCTGAAGGGTCTGTGGGCAGTGTGATCAAGGCCACTTGTCCTACAGGCTGGTGGGGTTTGGAACAAGTCATGGACTCAGACACTCCTCTATCTGCTCAGGAGACCCAGCCTTCCACCCCCTCGGTGCCTCGCAACAGGCCTCAGCCTCCTCTATTTCCGTTGAAAGAGGATAATTCCAAAGTCTGTTTTCCCTAATTGGATTTGTGGTTTTGTTTGGTTTCTGGCTATTAACCACCCCTCACTTTGGGGCCTCTTCAGCTCTGCCCCCAACTCCCTGCTGCATTTTTCTACCCATTGTCTGTGGTAGATATTGCCTGGATCTACCATGACCCCAGCCAGGAGAGAGGCACCGCGGTTCACTGCAAAGAGGGTACAACACGGACCCTCAGTCCAGCTGCACCACATATTGGCTGGGTGAGCTGGGGCCCATCGCTTTATGTCTCCGAGTCTTGGTTTCAGGTACACTAGCTCACTTCATATGACGGCTGAGAAGCAACCTGTGGAAAGGTACTTCATCCATCCCTGATGACAACGTGAAGTCACATCTTGATAAAGTACCCAATTACCACTGACTGCAAATGCTTACCTGCTAGACTCCTACTGTCTGGGAAATCCTGTGAGGCTAGTTCTTGTTCATGAGTCTTCAGTGCTGATCCTGGCTGTCCCTCCACTGCCCTGCCCGTGATGGCTGATGGGGGCTGTGGTGTCACTGCTTTCCGCTAGGGGCTCCCATCCCTCATCATCCCAGATGCAAACCCAAGCACAGGGCTGGCCTTTCTCTTAATTCTCTATAGCTCAGCCAAGAAGAAACTTCAACGTTAGATACATTTTCCTAAAGGTTCTGTATTCAGAGAAGGGAAGAATTGTACCAAGAGGAACTTGTTCCTGCTCTAGACGGGGCTGTGCTCAGATCCGAAGGACCTGCGGACCCTGCCGAGCAAGGGCAACTTCACTTCCAGCTGCCTCATGTAACAAAGGCCGGCTCAGCTCAGAGAAGGCTGGAGTCCCCTCATCCCCGTCTATCATCTGCCCCTTTCCCCACCTCCTTCCCTGGGGCCACTCATTTCCCAACATGATTGACAGTGGAAATATCCAGTCCCTTCAAGGGAAGCCCCACTCCACAGGTGTCCGGGAACAGTTAGTCAGGCTTATTGACCTCAAATAACTCCATTCCAAGGACACTGGGTCCCGTCCAGTTCCCTTTCCCAGTCTTTCCTCCCACAAGGGGTCAGGCAGTGATGTCAGCACGCTCTCTCCGAGGTCGGGAGCCTCTCTGTGGATTAGTGCCCCGCAAGGGACCGGCATTTCCTCAGGAGCCAGCTCCAGTTTGCAGCACATTCACTTCTTACAGAAGCAAGAAAAAATTCTTACAGCTTCCACTCGTACCCCCACCACCCTTCTGCCTCATGGAAGGGCATGTAGGTCACCGCTGCTGAACAGAAGCCTAAGATAATTCTTGGTTTAAAAAATTTGTTTTCAGGTTAATGGTGATTTTATGGTTTTCTCCACAAACAACCGGTGAGTATTTGTGTAACTAAAAAGCACATCATGGTGATTTTCCTAAAATAAAGAGTTTACTCTGTAAGATAAATGCCAGATTCTTAGGAGCAAATATAAAGGTGTTGTGGCTTCTTTTTTTAAGCACGAGAGACCACACTCACCAACTCAACATGCTAAGCTTTTTTTTTTAAATCCTTACCTGAGGATAGATTGATTGACTTTGGAGAGGAAGAGGGGGGGAGAGAGAGATTGTTGTACGAGAGACTCATCCGTCACTTGCCTCCCACTGTGCTCCAACCAGGGATTGAACCCACAACCTAGGTCTGTGCACCACCAGGGACTGAACCCGCAGCCTTTTGGTGTATGGAATGACACTCCAAACCACTGAGCCACTCGGCCAGGGCTCAACATGCTAAGTTTTTATGAATCGCAGTGTCCAGGGGCAGGAAGCGGGACCCTTCCCTCCAATGCATGTGAGCCATCTTGAGGATTATAGATTCCCAGGCAGTCGGGAATCCTGGAATCATCCAATCTATCCCCAGGAATCAGGTGACCTCCTAGTAACATCCCTATCGGGTGATGTCTCAGGTCTGGCTTGCGTGCCTTTCATGAAGGGGAACTTGGTCTTTCCTCGACTGGTCCATCACGGACCGGCTTCCACAGCCGGCTCAGTCCCAGTCCTTGGGGACACAGAGAACCTGCTCTTCCTGGGACATCACCCTATTGATGTGCCCACTGTGGACATAGTGTCTGACTGTCTCCAAGCTGAGGCTGGGTGCCCCGATTTCCATCCCACCCTTTCTGCCCTCAGCCCCCCAAGCCCAGGCCCATGGTGTTCTGTGATACAAAGTCTCCAGTCTGGCCTTCTCCTGGGGACATGGCCCATCTGCCTGGCTCTGTCCCATCATCTGCCCACTGCGGGCAGAACCGGGAGTCAGAGCTGCTGTCCGAATTCTGGCAAACACACTCCAAACTAAGGCAGATTTTTTTCTCATTAGAACTTCTTATGGCATGTTTGTTAATAGGCTGAAAGGTGACCAACACAAGACTTGCAATTACAGACGTATCGAGATACACTCTCACGGGTACCTGTGGTATACAAGGACAGTCTGCCTTGTCTAAATGAAAGCAGAATGACTTTCATGGCAACACAAGGAGGTTCTGGGGGCATGAAGCCTGAACGCTACCCCTCCCTGCCTGTTCGCCAGCTGCCTCTCAGTGCCCTCTCCGAAGCAAGGCTGGTCTACCAGTGCTTTTCTGGGGAAGCAAACCAATTTGCCACAAATCACTTCAACGGTGGTCAAGTTGTCACATGGTCAATTTGGCCAATGACCAATTTGCAGGCTATTTTTAAAAATCTGTGTTTTGCCACAGCAATTTTGCCATTTATGGTTGAGTTGCTGGCCGCAGGTATTGAGTTTGGGGCAGGGCTGCCCTGGAGGCAGAGCTCAGAGGAGCAGAAGCTGTGGGCTTTCTCACGCTGGTCGGGCTTGGATGGCTGGAGGAACCGTGCACCAGGACCTGTGGAACTGGTGCAGGCGCAGAAGACCACTGCAGCGATGGGGACGGAAACCGGGGAAGCAGACCCAAGCAAGACCTGGGACAGTTGTGTCTTCCTGAAACGGATCTGGGCGAGAGCAAGGGGACTTGAGCACCACAACGAAGGAGAATGGGAGCTCCTGAAGAGGTCCAGTGGTAACTAAGTAGAGATGTTCGGAACTTAGAAGGAAGTGGCTCCTGAATTTCAAAATATAGACATGAATTAGAAGATTATTTCTTTGGAGAATTAAAGTAATGGTTGTATTACAAGATCAGGTGTAGAAATATGTGAAAATATAGAGCTTAAATTTAAAGAGGAGAAAAGAGAGAGAGAGAGAGAGAAGGAGGAGTACCAGGCAGAAAGAGCTCTGGCGTGTGGGAGGGAGTAGACTAATCATCAATATCTTGTTTTAATACAGCAACAGAAGAATATGGGGTATTTTATGCTGGTGGAAATTAGGACAATCAGCATGAGAAGAATGAAAAGCAAGAGACAATTGTCAAAATAATGGAGAGTGGGGAAGACAGGAATAAGTAGTGGCTTGACACAGCGAGATAAATCAAAGAAAAGGGGAAAGGAAGCAGCAACAAAGTACAATAAAGAGCAACCAGAGCGTCAGATGGAAGAAATGAGACGAAGTGTCCCTCGTTGCTGTGAGAATGGTCGGCTAAATTCCCGATTCAGGGCAGACCGAGTTCAGAAACCAAGCTGGTCTCCATGGTGTTTATAAGACTCTCATCCAGAATAGAGCGATTGAGAAAAGGTCAAAACCAAGTGGTGGGCAAAAAGATGCCCCCCAAATCGCCTCACCCCCAACGACGGTCACAAGGAGGAGGGGTGCCAATAATATCAAAGTAAAATTGAAGGTGAATGGCAGTAAAGGGGACCAAGATCACTATGAAATAGGAGCAGAGTAACAGTAGCAAGTACTGTTAACTGAACTCCTGCCATGGGCACAGCACTGTGGGCTTTAAAGAACTTTGCCCCGTAGCCCCCACGACAGCCCAATAAAGGAGATAATGTCATTATACCCATTTTGTAGAGGCATAAATCCAGGCTTGGGGAATTGGCCCAAGGTCTCAAAGTTGACACCCACATTCTTTTCTTTCAAAGATTTAATTTATTTTTAGAGAGAGGGGAAGGGAGGAGGAGAGAGGGACAGAACGATCGATTGTTACCTCCTGCATGTGTCCCAGTGAGGGACAGGATTCTTAACCCAGCCACGTGCCCCGACTAGGGATCGAACTGGTCACCTCTTGCTTTGGGGATGACGCCCAACCCACTGAGCCACAGTGGTCAGGGCTGAAAACCACATTCTTACCCAGCACCTTCTTCACTGGAGATGGACATGACCTTCTCTCCAGGACCAGCACCTACAAAGGAGCCAATTGCCCCTCTATCATATGGCCTTTGGCGGATATCACCCATTTAAACATTTTTAACAGTTTTCAAAATATCACCAATGAATTTGTTTTCAGGGCAACCATTCCATCTCATTAATCATGGCCACTCTACAGCCTGCATCTTCCATCTCACCATGAAGTCTCTCCTAAACTTGCTCAGGCCCTGCTTTCTCTGCTTTGCAAAGACACATTGAAATGACTCAGACTCATGCCCATTGAGCCCCGAGGGCCAGATCCATGGTCTTCCTCCCCAACGACGCCTGGGTGCCTCCAGTCCCACCACCGTCTCTGCAGGTCAAACACCTGCAGGGCAGCAGAGGGTCAATGCGTCCGAAAGAATCTGGTTCACGTGAGTCGGCCTCAAGGTAACTGTAAAGTTGTCTGATTAATTAAAAGTAAAATGTAATTAAGATAAAAAGGATTTTACAGCAGTCCCTCAGTGCCTTGGCTTAACTGAGATGATACATTAGATTGGACTTCTGCTCCTGCCACCAGGGTGTGAAGCTGAAATAAACTCTGTGCTCACTGCGCTCAGTGGTGATTCATACTTCGCGTTCATCCCATCCAGTGCTTGTCAGTGCGTTGGCTGTGAGGTCTCACGTCCTCAGCAGCCATCAGGACAGAAGGAGGCGCAGTCTCCACTGCCGTAGATTCCAAAAACAGCAGCCGATGTAAATAACATGTAATGTGTCTGATTGATATCTAGTTGTCAGAATGTTAAATTACCAGTAAAATGTGAATGACTTTAAATACCTGATATTGATAAGAAAGTCATTATCACTGAGTAGTTACTTAACTTGTGCCAATTTTGGTTAAGAACATGATAATCAAATTTATTTTTTATAAAACCATCAGTCCTCTGCTACCAATTCATTGGTATGTAGTCAGCACAGGTTACTCAGTTAAGTTTTTAACAGGGTATTTGTAGGGAGGCAGGATTCGGAGACTCCTCCCCAGCTGCATTTTCAGGGCCCCGTTGGGCTTTTCAGTGTCTTGGGGCCCTCGGGGGAGGCATCAGTCCTGAGACTAGAGATGAATGATGAATTACAGCGGCTCTCCTGCTGGTAGAATGTTAGATAATCACTTGGGGAACTTAAAAAAATTCTTATGCCCCGAACACCCCTACCCCCAAACAACCCAGAGCTCAGGATTGTTTTAAACTCCTGGAGTGATTCTGTGTGCACGCAGGGGGAGGCCAGGGGGAGCTGAGTGGAGGTTTGAGTGGACTCTGCGTCCTGTGAGGGCTGAGGGTCAGCCGTGGGCTCCATTCCGGTGTGGCCCCCCGGCACTCGGACTGTGCTCCTGCAGGGGAGTTCTGCTCATTCCTTCCCCACCCACTCTCTCCACCCCCACCTCCCAGGCATCTTGTCGTGATCTTTCCACGTGCACTCTAGAAGGAAGACTCCCCTTCAGCCAGCCCGCCCGCCTGAGCTTGGTCTGCCGCCCCAACTGCTTCCTCTCCCACCCACCCCTCTTCTCCTGTCTTCCTGTTTTCCCTCCTGCTTTCTTCACTCTGAGTGTGGCCCTCACCCAGCCTGGCGGTGCTGGAGGCTTTCCTTCCCTGGCCACAGCCCAGGGGTGGCCACGCTGGCTCGGGAGGCGGTTCGGTCCAGTTCCCTGGGGTAGGCACTGTGCTGGCTTGGTCATCGTGGAATGTGCAGTGCCCAGTGGAATGGTATGGGTGTACAAGGACTTTTGGACATGGGTGTGCAAGCATGAGTACACTCACACCTGTCTCATCTTTGTGGGGAGGCCCTGGAGTGTGGTCATTGTGAACATCACCGCTGCCAGCAGCAAAGACAACATCCTGTACGACTGTGTTTATATAAGATTCTGGATGAAGCAAACTAGCTGATAAGGATAGAAAGCAGACTGGATGCTGCAGGGGGCGTGGGTGGGGGCAGAAGGGAACTCTTAAGGGTGATGGATGTGTTTGTTATCTTGGTGGTGGTGATGATGCTGTGGATACAGACACACGTCGAATCTCATCGAATGGTGCAGTTTAAATATGGGAAGCTTAGAAGACACCAATATCTCAATAAAACTATAAAAGAATTAATTAAATATGCTCCCCCCCCAAATGAACAAGACTTCTGAAGTCAGTCTGGGTTCTAATCCAAGCTTCTCTGCTTTCTAGCTGGGATGACCATGAGGAAGTTAATTAAGATGGCTGTACCTCAATTTCTTCACCTGTAAAATGGGAATAAAAATCTCCTCACCTCATATATGATGCAAAATGAATAAGATGGTAATCAAGTAAGGGTTTGCAATTCTTATGTCAGTTCCTGGCACATTTGCACCTGGCAACAGAGGGCACCTGTTGTTAGTGCTGTTGGTGGACACACACTCACATGTGGTGTGCCCGTGTCTGAGCATTTGCACGTCTGTGAGTATCTGTGCCTGTGCATGCAGGAGGGGGTGGGTGAGTCCGTGTTTCCTGTGTGTCTGTGAGGGGGCTGTGGATTCAGGCACGCGTGTGTGGTGAGTTCAGGCATGAGACCTCCCTGTTCCACACCATCCATCACAGCCTCCTCCTCCTCCAGGCTGTTATGGGTATTGATTTCTTAACAGTTACTAAACTGCTACGTTTACTGACTCATTCAGTCTTTTATCATATCCAGTAACAGTGCACTTTGGAAATCACATCACCCCGGTTCCTTCATGGCTTCTGCAAATCAAATTTATTTTACTATTGAAAATGTCAGAAAGATTCGGCCCCAAAAAACCTGGAGCTCTCTGGGGTGGCCGGACCCTGAAGCTGGCCCTCAGGCTACAGTGAAGGAAGCTACGGCCACCCCCTTTCCACAAGGATTGATCTTCTGAGCATTCGCTGCAGCTGGGAGGGAGTCAGAGCCCTGCCTCCGGCCTGTCTGCGGTCGGCCCACTCACGCAGGAGGGGGAGTTAATGGAGGCCTTTGGGGGTCGACATGGCATCACCAGTATGACTTTCTGGGCACTGTCTGCGCTGCCATGTCCTGGTAGCCTGGGTGGTGAGAGAAGTGTCAGTGTCACTGTCCTTGCCTTCAGAGAGGTCAGAGAGGAGAGAGACAGAGATGAGGCCTGCCCCCGAGCTCCAGGCTGGGTTTGCACGCAGTGATGTGAGGAGAGCTTCCCAGGCTCGACTCTGGGACCCGACTGCTCTGGGGCTGCCTTGAGTCCCAGTTCTGTGCAGCCTTGGACAGGCTGCTTAACTTCTCCGAGAGTCTTGCCTGCAAAATGGGGAGAAGGACACATCACATGTTGGCTTCTACTTCCAGATTCTCAGCTATATATATTGAGTCTGAATTTGAATCTAGATCTTATCAGAAGATCCTGGCATCTTTATTATAAATCATAAGTGTCATGTCTCAGGTGCAAGGGCCATCCATTCCCAGGTTTTCAGAGGAGGGAGGAAGAATAAAGCTAAAATAACTTCACTGAGCACCTGTTGTGTGCCAGGGCCTGTCCTAGTTAATAGGGTCCCTGGTTTGCAGCCCTTGGGACCAAGTTCCTAACTTCCTAGAACTCACCACCGTATGGGACGTGGACACAGTGGAAATGCGGGAGGCAGTGGTGTAGTTGGGACGTGGGGTGGTATGTGGGGACCATGGAAGGTGAGGCTGAGGGGCCAGTCACAGCCAGCTCATAATGGTACTGATGTAAAATGACATGGGCCTTCTCCTGAAAGGTACTTGTAAGTGTCCCCAAGACCACCCCCATGTGGATGTTGTGCTGAGAGGACTCGCAAGACTCAGCCTATAGTCACACTTGTAGCCAAGGTTTATTACAGCCGGAGCAAGGTCAGCAAAGGGCAAGAGTGCATGGGCCGAAGCGGGGCCCCTCCCAGCGGATTCATGCAGGGTGTGAGACTAGCGGTGATGACATGTGTTGTCTGCCAGGGAAGCTCATTAGAGATGATGTGTCCAGGAATTTCACTGGGGACTGGTCACTTA